TCATTCCGTTTGCAACACCTCAAAACTACCATTTTAGACCCCACAAAGTACTTATATTCTTGATCAGCATAAAATTCTATTTCGATTTAGCGGTGTCCATCCGTTTGTCCGCCTATGGAAATCACTCTAGCTTCCGAATGTAATGAAGTAAGTTGATAAAAATTTGTTCAAATGTGTATTATGTCTGCAGGATTTTTGGTATTGAATAATTTAATCATTTTTGCAACATTATTTACCGGAATTGTTTCAAATTTCGTATTTGAAGTTCGTAATGGATATTACAGCCTAAGACAGAAAATGGGCCATGTTGGTCCAGATCCTCGTATAGCCCCATATAACGGGACCTTCAAATATTGGGTTTTTGATGATTTTAGCAACATTACTTACTGGAATTTGTTTCAAATTTGGTATTTGAAGTTCGTAATGGATACTACAGTCTAAGACAGACAGGTCAACGTCTTCGTATAGCCCCCATATAATGGTCATCCAGATATTGGATATTTTGATGATTTTAGCGACATTATTTACCGGTATTTGGTATTTAACAATGATAATGGATACTACAGCCTATGCCAGAAAATTGTCTATGCAGGTTCACGTTTCATAACACCCATGGTTTCTCCGTATCTTTGGTATTTTGATGATTTTAGCTTCATTATAAACAGATTTGTTTTAAGTTTCGCATTTGGATATTGCAATAACTTATGACAAAAGTTTCCTATGCATGTTCACGTAGTCCTATAGACCCTAATATACGGCTACATTCGGTATTTTTATGATTTTAACAGAATTTTTAACGGATTCTATTTTTTGAACATTGCCAAATTTTTACCAAATTTTTGCCTTTTTACTTGTTTTTGTTTTCTAAGATAGTTCTTTTGAAAATTCGTTAAAACTCTACAATAATAACTCGGTTGTTCCTTGAAATATTATTCAAAAATCCGCGAATATTGCTTTGGCAATATTAGTCTGGAAATCCTTGGAGAAAATCCTTAAACATCTACAATTGTAGCTGGGTTGGTCCTTGCAAAAAATGCTTCCACAGTCTCTGTACAGATAAAATTTTTTCAAAACATCCTTAAATATGCAAGTGCATTTCTAAATCCATAAAAATGTATGGAGCGGTATGCCTGTTTTTAAAATAAAACAAGTTAAAAAAATTGTGATAATGATAAGAATAATAATAATAATAATAATAATAATAATAATAATAATAATAATAATAATAATAATAATAATAATAATAATAATAATAATAATAATAATAATAATAATAATAATAATAATAATAATAATAATAATAATAATAATAATAATAATAATAATAATAATAATAATAATAATAATAATAATAATAATAATAATAATCAAAATACCAATTATTGGGGGTTCCGATATTCAGGGGCTATACGACGACCTAGCCAATTATAAGCGTTTAACCCTCTTTGGCGAAGATTGCGAAGGAGTGTCCCTGTATTGTGCATTTCGTATAGCATGTAAATAAATATAATATAAATATTGCGACGTGCCCCTTTTATATGAGATATCCGATAATTTTAAGAAAATGTTAAAATATGCGTGGGATATAGTCGACCGAAGTATTTCATTTTCATACTTCGTCTAATACAGATAAGGATATTAGTATGAGTAAAGTTAATTTTCAAATATTCATAGAAAAAAAGAAAAATACTTTCATTTATTTGATATATTTAATATTTAAAAAAAAATATTCTAAAACAATACCAAGTTTTGCCAATCCTATCCAAGTTTTGCATTCCTTAGAGGAATAGATCCCCTCAGGGTACAATACAAATGAAATTTCAATTATTCCTAATGGTATTAAAAACATTCCAAAATGCCATCTCGAAAAAACGTCCCATAACAACGACCACAAACAATTTCCCAAATCTTCACCCGCCCCGGCCCTCTTTTCTGGTGTCTAAATTTATTAACTCTGCAAAGAATTCCATCTTCCTAGCCTCCCCGCTCGTTGTGCTCTTTGTCACCGCTTAGCTTCAAAGGATAATTTTAACAAGCTCCAAATCCCCTTAAAACATGACAGTAATTATTTTGTCATTTGCCACAACAATAAAAAGGCTCATAAATAAATAATATCCACGATTACGCTTTGAGAGCTGAGCATGGCAAAGAGAGTGAGAGAGAGATGGAAAATGTTTTTGTTTTTTGCTTTAGCTTTCTGTGGGCTTTGTCGGTGTTCCATGGGGCATGGAAGTGTGCGGTTCACACCAACACATAGATAAATATAATGTAGCTGCTGAGGTAAATTTTTGCAAATGTTTAAGAAGATTTTTTTTATTTAATGTGAATAATTAGCGATGAAATGTTATCCTCTTATAACTCTAAATGGAATAAATTGTTGGTAATGTAACCAATTATTTTTTTCTAGGAAGTATTATGGGTTAAATATGGTTATTAAAAGGCAGTAAGTTTGACCGGGCCGAACTTTGAATGCACTTCACCATTTGGAATGAATTTGTTTTTCAAAAAAAAAAAAAAAAAATAATAATAATAATAAATAAATAAAACAAAATAAATAAATAAACAAACAAAGTCAAATAAATAAATAAATAAAAATAAAAATTTATTAATAAATAAATAAAACGTTTAATCCTTTTAAAATTCTATTAAAATCTTAAAAATGCCAAATATAAGAAGTTACCGTTATTTTGGGGTCTAACGAAGTCGTAAACTCGTAAAAGCAATTTTTTGTCACATTCTGCAGTACCCATTTGGAACTACAAATACGAAATTTGAAACAATTCCGGTAAATAATGTCGCTGAAATTAGGAAAGTACAGAATATAGAGAGGTACAGTTACATGGGGACTATACCTAAACATGGACCTATATAGGGTGAAATGAAAAAATTGCAACCAAATTTAGACAGCTGTCATTTCTAAGCCACTCGTCCGACAGCTAAATTAATAATGAGTTAAAATTATTCCAGTGACAGCTTTACAAGCGTACAAAAGCCTTCTGGTGAGAATTTTTTCGAAAAAAAAGTTATTCGTGATGGGACTCAAGCGTGATAGTGTGATTGCTTTATATTTGGCTGGAAAACCACAAGTGGCTATCGTTAGAGCACTCCAGCATTTAAATGAGAATAAATCTTTTGTGTCTCGTACCATCGATCGTTTCCATGATACTGCTAGCGTAACCCAACATATGTCAAGGAAGTGGATGGAAGAAAACAGCAACATCAGCAGAAATGGTTCGAAAAATAAAGAAGCGACTTGATCGAAACCGCCTCGCATTGGCCAAAAAATGGCTCGTGAGCTGAACATATCGCAATATTCCATTCGGCAAATATTAATAAAAATGAGCTCGGGGTAAAGGCATTGAATTTCCAAAAAGTGCAAGAACTTTCGCCGCAACAGAAAAAAATAGACTCAAAAGAGCTAAAGAGTTGCTTCGCTTCGCCGAAAGTGATGACCTACCTAAATTGGTTTTCTCCAATGAGAAAACATTCGTTGTCTAGCAGTTTGTAAACGAATAAAATGATCGTGTTTACTTGCCAAAGAGGTGAGCTGAAAATGTGCACCTTTGGTTGGGCACCAGAACTGATGCGCCGACCATGGTGATGAGGTGGGCCGCCATAACATCCGATGGTCGCTCTCCGCTCGTATATATCGACCGTGGCATCAGAATAAATGCCGAATATTATCGCGAAAATATTCTGGAGGGTGTAAAGCCTTGAACACGCAAACATTTTGGCCGCAGACCTTGGACAATCCAGAGGGGCTCAGCACCATCGCACTGGAATGGTTACAAATGAGGTTCTCCGGATCTCCACCCGTTGTACTGTTATGTCTGGAGTATTTTGGAGAGCAAGGTTGGCACTAAAAATGCCAAAGTGTCGATCACCTTAAGCAAGCGCTTCGCCGGGAATGGGCCAAAATACCGCAGAGCAACATTCGGGCAGCGTGTGACGGTTTCATTGGCCATTTGAATGCCATAATTCGTGCGAATCGAACAAATCTAAACTTAATTGTAATAAAATTTGATGCTATTTAAGACATTTTTTGCTTTCATTCAAAAATTTAAAAAAATTAAATATTATGGCGTTTGACTTTGTTGCAGTTTTTTTTATCTCACCCTGTATATAACTTATTTTCAATACGAAAAAAGCCTGCAGAGCAAACATACATTTGAGTAAAATTTTATCAACCTACTTTAATTTATTCGGAAGCCAGAGTGATTTCCACAGACGGATAGACAGACAAAGGGATGACAAACCTAATATACCCTCTATAATATGGTGGAGGGTATAATGATGTAAGTCGGGGCATATACTAAATATTTGATTTCAATACTAATTTGGTATAAATATTGAGTATGTAGGAAATAATCATATTTCAGTGGGAAACTTGTTTTTTTTTTTATTATAATTAGTTTTTTTTAATTGATATATTTTTTTAATGTTATTAACCCTTCTTGTAAAAAATAAAAAAAATAATAAAACAAATTGCATTCTTGCTTAACACAGAAACACACTTTAATATTTTGATTCAACATTGAAAAGGTCCCGCCCATAACAGTTTTTTTTCACGATTAATCCCATTACTATTATTTTTTAATATCAACAAATAAATGTATAGAAATAGAAGTAGATTTCTTCCTCTATAATTTCATAAGTAATAATTAATTAAAAATTATTTCTTATAATTTCCAAATATTCGTTTTAATTTGCTTTTATGGATTTTCGTAAAAAAATTAATTTATATCAAAAATGGTGTCAAAATTGTGATATTGTGAGAATTTTTGAAAAAATGTGTCAGAAAAATACTTTATTCTTAAAAAAACACGATATTTTGTTTAGTTTTAAAAAATATGTGTGAAAATATAAATTTGGTGATGCATCTAAAAATTGTTAGTTTAAATTTTAAAATTGCAGTTTTTTTTGCATTGAAAGTGTTGTTTTTTTTTCTAAAATTTGTTTTTTTTTCTCATTCTACTATTGTTTTCATTCGGGTACGTTACGATTTTCGGATCCATTTTTGTCTTGCAGTTTCGCTGGCGCTCTTTTCTTGTTGTTGTAGAGAATGTTGAAGAAACGATATTGGTTATACACAGTTAATTATACGAAGTTGTTTTTTTTTTATATATCACGTATCTTTTTATTTTTTTTTTTTCGGCTTCAGATTTCCTTGTTGGTGGTTTAAAATATTAAAAAATTATTCAATTTATTTTTTTTCATTTTTTCAATGTTTGGTAAAAAAAATAATAATTAATTTTTCACTTTGAAATCAAAGTTAAGCGTTATTTTCTCTTTTTTTTTAATTTATGTCTTAATTTTTAACTTAGGGAAATCAAGGAATTGCCTTGGATTCGAATGGTTAGTTTATAAAACATATTGTTAAAAATATTATTTTGTTTTTGTTAAACCGCTGCTTCTGAAGTTGAAGATAAAGTTTTCAAAAAATATTTGCATTTTGCTCTTTCATTTTTTATAAATGTGGTTTTATATATTGTTTTTAGCACTTTGAAGTCATTAGTTTATTATGAGCTTTGAAACAAATTTTCACAGGTTAATATATTTTCACAGATTTTCATATACTTCATATATTTATAAATATTATTGTTTTTATATATAATTTTTATTATTATTAATTTTATTTTGTTTTTTTGATTTGTGAAAAAGTTGGCGAAAACTGGGTACTGCTAGAATACCTCGATCGATGAATTCAGGCGAAAGTGCCTCAAGTTAAGAAGAAAAAACACGAAAAATACGAAGATACAAAACAGGTACAGACGACCTAATAGAAGGAATTAGGGGCGACATTAATCAGAATCTAAAAGAGGGCTTGTCTACAAGATCGTGATGCAAAAACCAGGACTTAGAAATATTGTCGAACAAATGGACTAAGATGTTAGGGAATATATATTTTCGCAAATCAGACACGATTACACTGAAATCTCTCTCAGACATATCTCTCTTAGACATATAATACCATAAACGAGCCTCAAGCAGCAGCATGCGGCTTCGAAGTCAATAAAGACCCTACTCCCGATGAAGTAATTAAAGAAAAGTAAAAAAATCGACCTGAATGATGCAAAATACAGAAACTAGTCCTACTAATCAAAGGAAAGATAGACACCCAATTGACCTGGATCGAAGATTTTGTGCAAAGAGATAACAGACCTACCAAAAACCCCAAATTTAGGGTTTCAGTTAACTTGTTTCAAAATTCTTCAAAGTATCAAAAATTGGGAGGTACCATTATATGGGGGCTATACCAATTAATGGACCTGGGGAAGAGAACAGACCAAGTTTTTGCTAAATTGGTTGGAAATTGGGGCAGAAACCTTCAAAATACCAAAAATCGGGTCGTACTGTTATATTAGTGGACCTGTAGCGAAAATTTTTTGCAAGGAGGGAACAGACCTACCAAGAACTCAAATTGCCAAGTTTCAGTAGATTCAGTTGGTAATTGTGGCAAAAAGCTTCAAATTCCCAAAAATCGGGTGGTACCGTTATGTGGAGCCTATACCAATTAGTGCACCTAAATCGAACATTTTTCTTCAAAGAAAACTCCAATTGGCACGTTTCTTCAAATTTGGTTGAAAATTATTCAAAGTAACGAAAATCGGGAATTACCTGCAGCGAATATTTTTTCAGGGTGAGAACACACACACGGAAAACACCAAATGTAAGGTGTTAGCTGATTTGGTTGGGAATTGTGGCAGAAATCTATAAAACACCGAAAATCATGTGGGAGAGGGTTATATGGGGGCTATACCTAAACGTGGACCAATAAAGTTTATTTTCAATACCTATCATTCAAAACTCTGAATTAAATATTATGGACTCTATCGTGATTTCAACAGACAGACAGACGGACATCGCCAAACCGACGAATATTCCTAGGTATTGCAAACAAATTTAACATGCCCTCCATTGTATCGTAAAGGATATAAAATACTGCAAAGCGAAAGAGTCTGAGAAGCGACAGCCAAGTTTGTGGAACACCTTCTCCGTAAAAAGACAGACGTAGATACTTCTTCGTAAAAGCGAAGCGAAACTCAAGAAACAACACACATGCCGTCCGCCTTGAAATAATGCAAAAGCGTTTCCGAGGTGAGACATAAATATCGGGCTGAAAGGAGGTGGGGTTTTAGCCGGTATGGACCATACAACGAATGTGAGAATATCGATATGGGTGTAAAGGATTTCCCCATTCCTGCCAGAAATAAAATTATAATTCTTTTTATTATTGTTGTTGTTATTTATTTATTATTATTATTATTATTATTATTATTATTATTATTATTATTATTATTACTATTATTATTATTATTATTATTTTTATTATTATTATTATTATTATTATTATTATTATTATTATTATTATTATGATAAACGTTATAATTATAATTATTTTATTATAATTAATATAACTATAATTTTTATTTTTGTTATAATATTTTAATTCATTTATATATTTAATTCATAGTTTCCGAATTTGCGTATAATTTTCGTTTATTTTTACAAAAAAATAAATAAATAAAATAAAAATAATGCTGGTATTCGATACGAAAAAAGTCTTATGTCCAACCGTTCCATTGGTTGGTTAAGGAGTGGAGAAAAATTACTTTTGTCAAAAAAGTTTACATTTTATTGATTTTTTTTTGTAATTTTGCAATATTTTTTAAAAATATTTTTTATGATAATATTTTTTATTTTATCAAAAAGTAAACATTGGTTTTTATAAAAAAGTTGACGCCATTCAATTAGGTTTTTATTTAAAATTGTCCAAAATATTTTATATTTTTTCAATTTATTATTATTATTATTATTATTATTATTATTATTATTATTATTATTATTATTATTATTATTATTATTATTATTATTATTATTATTATTATTATTATTATTATTATTATTATTATTATTATTATTCTTATTATTATTATTATTATTATTATTATTATTATTATATTATTATTATTATTATTATTAATAGTGTAACATTAAATGTTTTTTTTTTTTTTAATTCATCCAAGCATTTCCTGTTCCATTTTCTATAGACATTTGATTTTAGTTTTATATTAATTTTAATCGTTAATTACATACATAGACATTTGATTTTAGTTTTATATTAATTTTAATCGTTAATTACATACGTTGATGTAATTTTTATATTTATTGTTATTTTCTGCACATATTTTTTAATTTTTAAATATTTTAATGTTTAAATTTTTTAAGTATTTTTATTATTGGATTTCTTACTGTTTTTTTGTTTTTTTTTTTGGAAATAAATATTTTTTTTAATATTAATATTTATCGTTTACAGTTGCCTCGATTCAATTAAATTTTTTTCCATTTCATATTTTTTTTAATTAAACATCCTTTTTTAATTTTTAAAACTTTTTCAATTTGTTATAAAACGTTTTTCTGCATTTATGACATTTTCTTTATTTTTTTTCACTGTAATATATCTATTTCCTGTTGGTTTGTTGTCTAACTATCTATTGTTTTAAACAAAAGCGCTTTGCTTTGGATTCCGTTTGTGACGTTTTTACCGTTAAAATGTTAACAAAACAATGACTAGCCCTGCCTGTGCATGTCTATGTGTGTACATGGCTCTGTTCGCCCAGATAGCCTAACACATTGTGGTTGGTTGTAGTGTAAGGAGTTCATCCCGGATGATAAGGATATGCTCTCGCAATGAGCATTACAACAATAAAACGAAACGCAACAACAACAATTGGGTCTGGTGACTGGCTGCACTCAGTAAGTGGAACACCTTTTTATTTTCAGTAATGTTTCATTTTTTTGTTGCATTCCCAAAAAGGACCTCAAGTTAGTATCTGTGATCAGTAAGAAATGTGATCAACGTAATTTATTTTTTTTCAAAATTTCAATCATTCTTTTTTTTCATAAATATTACAAAACACTCAAAACTCGATGTTTTCTTACATTCATATATTTTATCGATTTTTTTCGAAAGATTTTTTATTGTTGTTGTTACATATAAAACACTTCTTAAACTTTCTAATTTTTTGTTTAAATACTAAAAAACACGTTAACAGTTGCAAATTTCAATTTTTATTTCGTTAATATTATTTATGTTAATTTTTATATATTTTTTAAAATATTATTTGCTTTGGTAAAATTTTCTATTTTTATTATGTTTTTTTCTGTTTCTATTACGTCTCTATGTTTTTAATGGTAACTTATCGGTTACGTGTTAAACTATCAACTGAATTAATGTTGACCAAGTCCCCATTTACCAAAAGGATGCTGCCTGCCATTCTTTTGTGCTGCCAGCCATTGGGAGATGCTGACGCCGGCAGCGCTGCCGGTTGGACGAGTGAATGAGCATGAATTTCGTTTGTCGACAGTAACAAAAGAAACCACTTCCTCGCGGAGGGTTTGGGTGTGTTCGTCGTTGAGTTCGTTCCTTCGTTCGTTCGTTCGGCCGCACGTAACACACTTTCGTTTGCCAGCCACTGTTTGTTATTGTTTTCGTTACAACTATTACTCAACCTTAGCAAAGTGTTGCTATTGTAGTTGTTGTCCGTATTTCTGCAATTTGTTGCTCTTGTTGCGTCGTAAAACTGACGCAGCCATCAGCAGCATCACACATTCATGGTCGTTACAAAAATGCAGCAACTTTTGGCATTGGCATCAGCAGCAAGAGAGAGACACAATAGTTACAAAACAAAGAGAGTGTATACACCAAGAGAGGCTGAGAGGGAATGTATGTAAGAGTAATGGGACAACATTAAGAGAGTTGTAAAAATAATCAAATGAAGCAACATGTTGTAATGTTCCCGCTTCGTAACAGCCCTTATGGGGCATAAAAACGAGGGTAGAGCAGGAAAGAAGTAAAGTCGCGGAATTTTTAAGAATTTTTTAAATTGTTTTAAAGTTTTTCAAGGAATATATTTTTTCAAAAACTACAACAAACGTGGATTTAAAAAAAATATTTTTTCAAGGACACCAACTAAATGGATTTTTTTTTAAATATTTTTCAAGGTTAAGTTTAAATTTAATTTTTTTTTATTTTTTTAAGGACTACAAATAACGTTATTTTTTTAATTTTGTTTTTTCAAGAACAACAACTAACGTGGGCTTTTTAAAAATATTTTTTCAAGGACAACGGGTAACTTAGTGTTCTAAAAATGTTTTTTTTACAAGGATTTGATTTTTTTTAAAA